CCCCAAAACCCCAAAACCCCATTTATGTGAAATTTAAAATATGAATTTGAATTCAATCTTATAAATTATTAAGTCAAGTATTAAATGAGCGCTTCATTAGGAGAATTACTTTCTCAATGCCTTGAAAATAAGCAAGGATTTGACAACTTTTCTGACTCTATAGCTGCTTATGTAGGAGATACAACAAAGAATATGTAAGTGCTAAACAGTTTATCTGAATAACAATAATAACTTTTTACATAGTAAGTTGTAGCAGCCAATAGTTAATCTAATCAAGCAAACAATTAAATCAAAGACTCATACTAGTACTCAAAAATTACTTTCCCTGAGACTACTACATAAATGCTTCCAAAAAAAGAACAAGGAATTTAACAAGTATGTCGATAAGAAGATACTTAGCAGATTAGTTATTTTAGCTCAACATAATAAACAGAAAAATTAGGAAACTGAGCTCATTTATAAGGGTGAGACAATATTTTCTGAAAAAGATCCAGATAAGAATAGTGCAGCTGCTTTCTTAGTTCTCTTACTTGACTGCATAGAGCAATGGTCTAAAATTTACCCACTGTAGGATGACAACAAGACACCCTCTAACTATGTCAAACAATATGTAGCATTACAACAGAAGAAGATACTTTTCCCATCCTAGTGTCGCGGAAATCCCTTAGCAAGCGTCGGATTAGTTGAAGAATCAAGATTAAGCAGGCATAATACAAATAACTCCTAGGCAAATGGCTAAAATAGAGCTAAGAGTGATATAAGAAAAGCTTCTGATAATGGTCAATAGATACAGAAGCAACTTGATACTAAGAAGGTAGCTGAGGAATTGAAAGCAAAAATGCAGAAGGCAAAGAGTGTCGCTAAAAAGAGTGAGACATTTTTAGCATAACTTGAGAGGAATAATTTCTAAGCTGATCCATCAGAATTAATAGCAATGGACCAATCTTTAAGCTAAGGAAAAGAAAATTGCGAATTTTCAATAGACTAATTGATGAATGAGGCCATAAGGCCACTTATATCTAACTCAGAGTAATTATTGCAATAAATGCTCAGCTATTAAGAACAAATACTTACTGCAATCGCAATAATCCAGCCATTATGTGATTCATTGAAGCAAGAAGAGAAAAAAGCTTATAAGTAATTTGAAACTAGCAAACAGAATTCTTCACCTTTAAAAAGAAACACAGTAGCCAAACCAAAGACTAAAAACGCATTCGCAACACATGCTGTTGAAGAAAAGAAAAATGACGAGGGAGGGGATTTATGGAGTCAATTAGATCAGTTCGCAACTGGAGTCAATTAAACTGGGAATTCAAATTAAGTTACTTTTGGAGTTGGTTAAATTTAATAGCCAATAATTGATGAAAATGATCCATTTGCAGATGCAATCAGAGAAATGTAAAATGTTCGATAAAAAGGATTTCAGCCTGAAGAACAAAAGGTAGTCAAACCAGTTTAGTAATAGCCATAATAGTAGCAGTAGTAATAAGCCTAAGAAGAACCGACCGATTTCTTCTCTAGATACAATATGCTTGCTTAGCCTGAGAGTTATGACTTCAATCCTCCTCAAGAGTAAAATCCATAAAACAATGACTACTATGACAATCAGTACAACTAATAGCCAATGGTTAGTCCCAATAAAATAGAGAGATAAGATTCAGATCATGAGCTAGATGTTATAGTGAATTAGCCTCCTCCCTAAGAGGAAGAAGCACTTGGTCATGTATCCTTATTTAAATTAGTTTAGGAAGGGAAATTTGATTTAGAATCTGAATCAAGAAAGAAGAAGCAGATCCAATAATAGCATTCTTACCCTAATTATGATTAGTAAGACTATAACCAATATAACAATCAATATGATAACAATTAATATCAATACAATGACAGTAATGGATATTAAAATCAAGCATAAAACTCTTATCAGGATAACTATTATGCTGGTGGAGGAGCTAACGACACTGGCGACTAAGCTTCTGAATATAAAAAGAAAATTGAATCCCTCAAGTCTTAAAATATGACATTGTTAACCTCAAATCAAATGCTGAAAGAAAGAGTAAAGAATATGGAAAGCTAGTAAAATTCCTATCAAAATGATGACATGGCCCTCTAAAATTAGTAGTTAGAATAATCAATGAATAATCTAAGGGATTATTATGAAAGAGAAATGGATAATAAGGATTATTAAATTAAGAATAAAGACTATGAGATATAATAGTTAATGGATGAAGTCAACTAACTTAGATCATAATTAGGAATGCCACCTAGAGAAAGCAATCAATAAGTTTAAGCTATAAACAGTTAACAGCATCAAAATAATAGTTATGGTTCTCACAGTTATCAAAATGGTAATTACATAATTTAAGCTTCATTTTTATATAGACAACAAATAGAATAATAGCTATGATGCATAATAAATTTAAGCAAGAGCTGACACTCCGCCACTTGAGGATGAACCAAGTAATGATATCAATTATTTATAAAAGTGATTTAGTTTAACATATTTCTGTCAATGATGAGTACGATCCGAAATTAGATAACCTATACTTTAAGTCTGTATTCTCTGATAAGTTCTTGATCTATGATGATGAGAATATTTAAATGGGATGCATTAGATCAGTTTCGAATGAATGGAGATTAATTACTTTGAAGTTCTTCATTGGAAATAAGAGTCAGGCACTTCCAATTACAAACGTTTAATTCTAAAGTGATATTTAGCATGTGAGAATCAAAGATGAGGATAAGTTTCCAGAGATGATTTCTCCAAAGGAATAGTTAGAAGTTGTGATTTACATTGGAGCTTAGGTTTTATTTGTTCCTTCTATCAAATTCTGTTATTAGTAAGAACCTTAAGATCTTAATCATTTTTTAGAAGGTAAGATGTACCAATGAAATGGCAAAGATTAAAACTACCAGCTAATCCTATGTACTTCTGTGAACCATTCAATGTCACAGCTGCTTAATTTAAATCATTTTGGGGATTCACTAAATTTCCTAGGTCTACTAAATTCGACCTTGATATGAAAAGAGCGTCTAATCTTTAACAAATCAAGAAAATTCTTACTTTGAATGAAAAGCACGGTTTATTTGTTTAGGGGGTCGATGCCAAACCAAATATAGTGGGGTATTCAGGAAATCATTTAGAAGGGTATGTCTTTATTATGCTTGAAATTAGTGCATCTGGAACAGGTTGCGTACTAACTGTCAAAACAGAAGTATCAGATGAACTTACTCAAAAAATTATGGAGTACTTATTGGATTTAGTAGCAGTTAAATAATAATGAATAATTCAGGATTTAATATTATTTTCAAGATCTTATAGCATATCTTTATCCTAGGGGTTTTGGGGTTTTGGGGTTTTGGGG